GGAATGTGAGACGTGGAGGTGACTGCACGAGTTGGTGAATAAGAGTGGTTGTCACAAAACAAGGAATGGAGGAAGGCATGCAGGAAGGCAGAAGGACAAGGAGACGGACACAGACACAGACATACGCCCGCATACAGACACAGACACAGACACAGACGCAGACGCAGACGCAGCAGATGCACGCGTCCCCTTCTCCCTCCCTCACCCCACCCACGCCCTAGAACAAAGTCAGGGCACGAACCGCTTATAGTTGCTTCGTTGAAGGCGGACCATGTCCACAGCGTCCAGCAGCTGCTGCCTCGCCTGCTGCTGTTCCGCCTCGAGTTGGCGCGAAATGGCATCCAACTGCGCATCCCGTCGTGCCGCTTCCATCAGCGCCCGGTCTCGCTCCGCCTTGCTCACCTCCGATGCCGCCATCAGCGACGCAAGCTCGTGTTTCCGGTGCTCGGCAATCTGAACGTGGTTGAGCGCATGCGAGTGAGTATGTACATGTATGCATGTGAGTGCATGCGTGCTGTAGTGATTGCTGAAGTGAGCGCTGCAGTGAGTGCTGCAGTTGACCGAAGCAATTCACAGTTCAGAGCGCGTCGCGCATGCCTGCCCCACACCTTGATGGCCGAGTCGAGGTGTGCGAGGTACTGTGCGCGCTCCTGCAGCGCCGCCTCGTAGTTGAGCTCTACTTGCGCCAGCCGTTCACTCAGCCGCCGTTTTTCTCTGCACACACAAGCATGGTGTGCCACGTTAGAAGGACAGTGTGTATGATTGCGTGGATGTGGGTGTGTGCGTATGTTTGTGTGCGTGCGGGGGTGGGTGTGCACACGTTTGTGTGCGCGTGTGCAAGTGTGCAAGCATGGCTGTACTCGACATGGCGACTTACTGGTGAACGGCGTCCAGGCGATCGCGAAGTGCGGTCTGCAGCGCCGGGCGATGCAACAAGAGGAAGTGCCGCGGCGGTGATGAAGCAGAGACGTGAGTGGAGCAGTGTTTGTGCGCACACAACAAAATGAGTCCAAAGTCGCATCCGCGTGTTTACAGAAGCGGTTCCACTCAACACACACACACACACACACACACACACACACACACACACTCTCTCTCTCTCTCTCGAACAACGCACCACCAGAGCTGTTGCTTCCTGCACTTTTGATTGCATCTGGACAATGTGGCGTTCCTTCTGGTTGACGGCGCCTTGCAGCTGCTGGATCGTGTCGCGAAGCCGAGACACCTCGCGCTGTTGCGGCAATGCAGTAAATCGCGGGGATGTGTGAGGCTTTGATTTGAGTTTCAAAGCGCAGACGGTGTCGTGCATCCGAACGACCGAGACACACAGAAAGCCACCCCGCCAGCCGGTCGTCACACACACATACACACGCAGACAGAGAGACAGAGAGACAGAGAGACAGAGAAAGAGAGACAGAGAGAAAGAGAGACAGAGAGACAGACAGACAGAGAGACAGAGAGACAGACAGACAGACAGACAGAGACAGAGAGACAGACAGACAGACAGACAGAGACAGAGAGACAGACACACACACCCACACCCACACCCACACACACACACACACACACACACACACACACACACACACACACACACACACACACACACACACACACACACACACACACACACACACACACACACACACACCAACCACGTGCTCGTTTGTGAGGTCCTGGATGATGCGGTCGTGGTGGTCGCCGTCTCGACTGGCGACCCCAGCGCTCTCGGTGTCGCTGTGCTGGTACTGGTCCGATGGTGGGGCATATCCTGTACCGCCACGCACCTGTGTTGATTGAGGACACGCAGTCGACGCAAGGAATGTTGTAAAACACAGTGGTGAAGGGGACGTGTTGGTCTCAATTGATACAGCAGGCGCACACAGGGAGAGAGGTACAAACACAAACCCACGCGCAGTCAAACGCACACAAGGAACCAAATTTCTGCAAGAGATAGGAGCGTTGATGCGTGAATTTTAACATTGGCACACACACACACACACACACACACACACACACACACACACACACACACACACACACACACACACACACACACACACACACACACGAACACTGAAACCTCATTGTACCTTTACCTGTGCGTCTGCGCGGATCCGGGCGTTTTCGCGCTGTAATCTGCTGTTTTCGTCCCGCAAACGCGAGAGTTCAAGGGCAACACGCTGGGCGTGTATGTCCTGCTGGCCCTTTTCCTCCTGTAATTGCTGTATTTCCCTGTTTCCAAGAGAGTGCACATCCATGGCATCCACAGTGAGTGAGGGGGTGTTGTGGAGGGCATGTGGTGGCCGTGGACGAACGTCATCGGACACAGGAGACAGAGGGAACTTGCTGTATCACCTGCACCTTGACAGTGAACCTGTTTGGGAGTCAAATGACAAGAACCAATGCGCAACTCGTGATGTTGCATTGGCGGGAAATGCACTTACTCGCGCTGCTTCTGCATCTTCTTCTCCATGCGTTGGATCTGGAACACAGGGCAGCACGGAAACCGCAAGCAAACACACACACACACACACACACACACACACACACACACACACACACACACACACACACACACACGAATCGAGCTGATGTGTGACACTCTTGCACTCCTGTCTGTGTAAACAAGTGGGTGTGTTTGGTCTGCAGTGCCAAACCCCACCACCACCACCACCACCACCACCACCACCACCACCACCACCACCACCACCACCACCACCACCACCATTCTCACTCCATCTCCTTCTTGCTCATTCCCCTTCTTATTCTTCTTCGCACCTCTGTTTGGTTTGCTTCATCTTTGCCAATCAAGAGTTTGTTCTCCTGCACCAGCGTGTTGGTCAGCTCCTGCAGTTCTTCCCAGTCCTACAGTTTAGAGGAAGAAGAAGAAGAAGAAGGGACATGGGAATGAGGATGGGGGAGAGAAAGGGCGGTAGCATCAGTATCATTGAGTGCGTTCGCAGGCGCAGTGTGTGTTCGTATGTGAACATGTCACCGTGAGGGTGTTCCGCGGGCAGTGAGTGGAATCATACAGACACACACACAGACACACACACACACAGAGACACAGACACACACACACGCACGCACACACACACACACACACACAGACACACACACACACACACGCGCACACACACACACACACACACACGCACACACACACACAGACACACACACACACACACACACACACAACGGCACACACACACACACACACAGACACAGAGACACACGCACACAGACACACAGACACACAGACACACGCACAGACACGCACCTCCTTTGTTCGCCCAGCTTCGATGAGACGCTGGCGGTCCTTATGTAGCTCTTCATTCTCAGCCAGCACCTCACTAATCTGCTTCTTCAAGCGATCAATCTCCCGTCCATAGCGCGTGAGCAGCTCGCTGCTATCTACGTCCATCGTCTCCGCCATCCCGCCACTTTGCTTGTCCTCCTTCTCAGATTTGAAATTTCCGCCGGATCGAAAACTGTTGAAGACACCAGCAAATCGCAAACAACCGCAGCGAGACAGCCGACAAGACAGCAAGAAGCAACAACAGCAAGCAAGTCATGGAGACGAAGGTTGCGCTTGGGGAAGAGGTGGCGGGGTACACACTGGTGGTGCCCAGTGTGAGCATTGGAAACACGGCACAGCTTGCTGTGGACTTGCTGACAGAGACGTTTGAGTACCAGGTGGAGACACAGGCCAGACACAACGCCGTCCTTCCGTTTGCGGGACCAAAGGACGAGGGTGCATCCAACGCCATCGTCACGGAAATGCAAGGTACACAATCCGTGGGCGGGTGTTCGGTCGACACAGCCAATCTCCAAGCACAGCCAATCGCATCGCGTTACAGTGGGCCCCACAGCCTTGTCATAGCTCCTCTCACTTTTGGTGCTTGCATGCTTCGTTTGTTTGTGGCTCGGTGCAGTTCATGTGTCGCACACGCACAAGTTGGTGGTGCTGCAGATTCGATCGGCGATTGCGCGCGTGAGTGTGTGCAAGGGGGAAGGCGAGGGTGAGAGGGAGGGGTTGTGTGCGTGTGTACGTGTGCGTGTGTATGTGTGCTCCCGTGTGGCACGTGTGTATGTGTGTGTGTGTGTCTGGAAGCACGAGCAGTGAGTGCAATTGTGCGTGTGGAGGGATACGTGTGTGCGTGTGTGTCTGTTGTGTGGGGTTTTGCTACCACGTTCTTGAACGGGGTTGATAATACGAAATGTTGAGCTGGAGGGGATGGCATGTTGGTGGCGGGATCTTGTGCGTCTCACCTTGGTTTCCACTTTTGTGTCTGCGGTGTAATAGCAACGAAGAGAAGAGTTTGTGCAAGATCTGTTCAAGTGGATTCAGAGCAAGTCATTCGGGCGCACGCTGCTCCTCACCAGCACGGATGCCATGCACCGCATCGACAGCCAGCTTGAAGGGTACAGAAGAGCATCCTGTGTGTGGTGTATCGTGCCACGTTCGGTTGTGTGCTTTGATGTGGTGTTTGGTTGTTGGCTGATGCTTGGCTGAAACAGAGCCTTGTACACAAGAATGGAAGTGAGAGCGCGGCCTGTGATTGAAAAGGGTCGAAGCCAAGTGTAACGAAGGTATGTTCTCACTTGAATGCCATTGGTAAAACAGGAGCCCGCTGCGTGCGCTGAGCACCACTGATGACTCGTCCACATATGCGCCATTGAAGACACTGGAGCTGCACACGGACAGCGCGCTTCCCAACAGCGTGTTCCTTCCCGGCGGCGGCTTTGCACGGCAGCTGTTCCTCAACGCCCTCGAGGTAACGCAACTGTGTATGTGTGTGTTGTGTATGTTGTGTGTATGTATGTTATGTGTATGTTGTGTGTGTGTGTATGTGTGTGTGTGTTAGAGTGCGGCAGTGTGGTTGTGTACATGTTTGTGTGTCTGGGTTGCATTATTGTGTAGGCGAATGCGAATCCCAGCTGCTGCGTGTGCTGTTGAATGCGTTGTTTCATCGCTGCCCCTTCCCCTCGCCAGG